TCTATTATTCACAGTAGGAACAATAGCCAAAATTTGTTTTGTTTGTTCAGTCTTCACATTCTGCTGAAAAAAAAAAAACATGCTTGCATATACAATACACTGTGTTCTGGAAAAGTAAACCCTGTCTTGGGGACTCTGTCTGTTGTAATAGTGTACTCCCTATTTGCTGTGGATGGGTAGGTTCTGTTTTGAGCTTTCAGGCCTATAAGCAGACTTTGTCTTTGCTCTGGAAGAAGAAACTATCTCTATCATCCAATTTTGATTTGTATTAACGTATTTGACAAGATTATTTAGAATGAAAGATAATCCATGTCTTTGGTATATAGAAGCCAAGAGAGAAGAGCCTTCCATCATATATTTAGGTTTCTCTTGACTGAGCAGAACGTTTTCAGAGAAGGAACATTTAGGTACAAGGGGACATGGAGAAGAGTAAGATAAACCATGACAAAGACTTTAAAGTGTTTCCTTATATCATAGTACCCCTCTCCCCTTGTTATATTAGAGACAGAACATTGAAAAATGGGGAAAGTGTTTTAGAAAGTATCACAGAAAATAGGTCAACAGAGGTATTCTTCCTTGAGAAAGTTCAGAATATACATTTTTAATATAACAGTTTCAGTCAGTATGATCTCTTTTGTCCACTTTTAAAAATTTATTGTTTTCAATAATTAAGTCAACATACAAAGTAATGTGATTTATTCTGACATTTTCACACGTGTTACACTTTTTCTTTCCCTCCCTTGCTACCCTCCCCAATCCCTCTACCCCACTACCCCACTCTTGCTCTTTCTGTTCACGCTTTAATAGCCCACCCCTTTATGATATCACAGGTATTCCACTACTGTAGCTTTCCCTCCCCCTCCCACCTTTTAATTATCTACTCCTCCCATCTCTTAGGCCCCTTCTAGTTCAACACCTACCCCACCCACCTAGTCATACACATACAAGAGAAAACATGCAGTTTTTGTCTTTCTTAAACTGGCTTATTTCACTCAATATAATGATTTAGAGTTTCACCCACTTTTTCCCCCTGCAAATGCCATAATTTTGCTTTTCCTCTTGGCTGAATAAAGTCCCATAATCTACATAATCACAATTTCTTTATCCTTTCATACATTTATAGACATCAAGGCTGGTTCCATTTCCTCCCGGTTGTGAATAATACATTAGTAAATACAGGTATAGAAGTATTCCTGTAGTAGTAGAAGTTAGAATCCTCTGTGTATATAGCCAGGGGAGAGATTGTTGGATCATATGGTAGTTCTATTCTTAAGTGTTTGAGAAACCTTTATATTAATTCCCATGAGGGCTCTACCAACTTATCTTCCCATAAGCACTGTCTGAGGGTTCCTTTCTTCTCACATTTTTTTTTTTTTGCCAGAATTTGCTACCATTTATTATCTTGATGACAGCAATTCTGACTGGGTGAGATGGAATCTCAAGGCAGTTTTAATTTGCGTTTTCCTGCTGGGTAAGAGTGTTGAGCACATGTTAAAATACTCACTGGGTTTTTGTATCTATTAACTTATGGCTTATTTACTAATCTGATGATTTGTGTGTGTGAGTGTGTGTGTGTGTGTGTTTAACTTTTGCAGTGCTTGATAGAGTAAGTATTCATAGGGAAGCACAAAGGACCCTGAATAGCCAAAGCGATTCTAAGCAGAAAGAACACTGAAAGAACACTGATGATGAAATTCCTGATCGTGAAGTACATAACAGAGCGTTAGGGACAGAGACTGTGTAGCACTGGCACAAAGACAAGCGTAAAATATAAAATGATGAAGTAGATGACCTAGAAGTAAGCCCGCACAGCGACAGCCACCGAATTTTTGACAAAAGTGACAGAACATGCAGTGAAAAAGATGCCTCTTCTCTAACAGGTTCTGGGGAAGCCGAACAGCCACATGTAGAGCAATGAAACTAAATTCCTCTTCCTCACCCTGCACACACAAAAACCAAAACGGATCAAAGACAGAACTTAATAGAGAACTTGAAAATATGCAAACATAATCTTTAAGATATAGGCAGGGCCTTTCTACAAAGGACTCCTGCGGCAGGGGAAATAATTAATCTCAAGGATTAATAGATAGGATCACGCTACATTAAAAAGCCCATGCACAGCAGAGCAAATGGTCACTGCAGGGAAGAGATGGCCTTGGGCAGAATGGGGAAAAGTCTTCATCAGTTATATGTGAGAGGTTATTTTTTATTTTTTTACTTTTTGAACTGAAATTTTAAACTATTGCAAAAAAAAAAAGAAAAGAAACAGTTATATAATGATACAAATCATTAACCTACCAGCTAAATTTTAAGTATTTGCTCTGTTTACATATCTGCACATCTACCTAAGATTTTAACGGTTTCTTTTTATATTGTATTTTTTAAAAAGTTGCATACATCAATATGCTTCACCCCTAAACACTCTGGGATATATATTTCAAGCTTTCTTTAAGGCAGTGGTTCTCAACCTTCTTAAATCTGTGACCCTTTGATATAGTTCCTCACATGATGGAGACCATAAAATTACTTTTTGCTGCTACTTTACCACCGTAATTTTTCTTTTGCTGGTATTAATCAGAATGCAAATATCCGATCTGTGACCCTGAGGGGTTGGGACCCAGAGGTTGGCACCAACTGCTTTGGGGGCAGTGTATGTATTATGAGTATACACATGGCCTATGAATTCTGGGAAAGGTGCATACTTCAAATTCTATGACAATCTGGCACACTAGCTTCACACTGAAAGTGACCTCTAGTCCTTTGGCATGGAATCAGGCCCCCTTCTCTCAAAGGCAATTACGATAATGATGTTTTAAACCATAGATTAGTTTTATGTCTTTCAGAGCCCCACATAATCACATCACACAGTGTGTCATATTTGTGCTTGTGATATCCATACACTCTGTTTTCATCAAGAGTAGATTACTTTTTAGTCACGGGTAGTGCAGTGTTATATGGATACATCTTGCTAGTGAATACCTACACTGCTTTTAGTGTTTGAAGAGAGCTTCTGGGTACATCTAGTTTTGCTGTATGTGCACTTAAAAATGGGTATGCATGGTTTGTACAGGCAAAGCTTAGATTTTTAAATTTCTCTGCTTTTTCTTAGATTCTCAAGACCATAACTTGCTTAGTAATTTCCTAGTGCTATACTGTGTCTGGACGTTTGTTTATTAGCCTGGATTTCACTCAGCAATTAAAAGAAAGCTGCAATTAAGCTTTTGTGGGTTTTTAAAATTGTTTATTCTACAGTCACTTCCAAGGCACTATATGACTTTTCTTTTGGTCTGGAGGAATGTGTTAACTTCACTGTTATTTTTAACCTCAGACATTGTAGAGACACGTCACGCATATGTGCATGGTTGTTCAGTATTATAAGAACAAGAGGAGGGTCTCAGCACGGAGGAGGGAATGGAGTAGGAGAGGTGTAGCAGGATGGTGAGGAAAGCTTCTGGGAGCTTGTGTAGATTCTTGATTCCTGTGTGGCATCCTTACAGGCAGCATCCTGGTTCGCCTAATAGGTACTAGGGCTGAGAAGTCAACATTTCCCACCTTCCAGCCTCTATTTTTCTTCTACAGTGAAGTGCATTTATTTTGGTGCATTCATTGTAGAGGTGGAGTCTTACTGTGTAGCCCTTGGTCCTCCTCCTGCCCGAGCTTTTCAAGCATTGGGCTGCAGTGGGTACAGGCACACATCACCACACTCTACTTTCATCAGTACTCATTCATTAACAACTTGCCCAACGCGATACACTTGTCTCACGTCTTGTTCTGGAAATTTAGAGAGGAAGAGATCTACTCCCCACACCAGGAAGTCTCACTCCGTTAGTGGTCCTCTCTGTCAGCTGTTCAATGTCTACTCCCCATCATTTTCTCCTATTACACTTAAACTTTAGCATACATTTGTTCTCACCTGGGAGTTGATAGCCAATTGCCTTCAGTTCCCTCTCTCCCTCCCTCTTTCCTTTTCTTCCCTTTTTCTCTAACTCCTTCCTCCCTCCTCCTCTCTCCCCCCTCCCCTTTTTCCTTGTGAACTAAAGGGAAGAGTCTAGGGCTCTTTATATGCTAGGCGAGTACTCCATCATTCCACATTTTCTTTTGTAAATTTATTTATTTATTTACTTGTGCATGCATGTGTCACAGTGTGTGTATATGTGTGTGTTTGTGTTTGTGTGAGTGTGTGTGAAGACAAATTGTAGAGTTACTTTATCTCCTTCCACTGTGAGGTTTCTGGGGATCGAGCACAAGCTGGAGCCCAGTCTTTTACCTGCTGAGCCATCTCACCTAGCCTAACCTAACTTAACCTAATCCTAGCTCACTCTGCCTCTCTTTATTGATCTTCCTATTCCATAAGGTTTTTAACTTTTTTCTATATTTAATGATTAAAACATTCGTTAATATTCAACCTTCTAGTTTTCCTTTGGCACATTAAAAGCTATCATCCTCTTTGAGTGTATTATATATACCAGCAATAGCATGTTTAAGTTAAACATTTGATCTATTACCTTATATGACAACATTTTTAGTACACATTCACAAAAGATTATCTTGAAACACATAAATCAACTTAACGCATTTTGGCTGTTACTTTTCTTACTATCCAGTTTATGTTATCAAATATGAATGTCTGTTAGTTCTGTTTTGCCTACAATTAGCATGCCAAGGTTACCGATTTCATACCAAGGTCGGGTGTGTCCTCAGGGAGAGTTTCATCCACTTCTTCAAAAAAATCACAGCTGCATCTTCTGATATCTGCTCAATCTTGTGTTTGTTTCTATTTTGGAGTTGTCTGTCTCATCGCTTGTGCATCAAAATTATCCTTCAGGGCAGATACGCTGTTTGTTGAATTTCCCACCTTACTTTAAATGTCAGATCCTAATTGTAAGTGGCAGGTTCATAGGTTACAGTAATTTGGGGAACTTTCTTTATGGCAAGCAAAAAATCCTGAGATCTCATTGGCATTTCAGTGAGCTGATTTTATTTTATCTTTTCCCCCTTAGGAAAAAGATGACCACTTTGAATCTGTTCAGCTGAAATCCTCAAGATGCCCCAATATGTGAAGAGACAGTGCTGTAGCTTTCAGGACCCCTGTTAGGACCTGTCCTCACACCTGTCATGACTGTGCTCTCACAGAGGAGGTGTGTCACCGAGAGGAGGAGGAGGCAGACATGTTGATTGCCTTATAACATGTCACATACTTGGTCAAACTACTGAAGAGAGTGATCTGGGCCTCACTGAAGATGAAGCTTAACTCAGGAAGAGATGTAGCTGTGTACACACAGAACTGGAACCCAAGTTTAAGCCCACCAATGCACTGCTGATGCATGCCATATAATTACTGGGTAACTTTAATTCTTTACAATGTCTACATACAAAATATGTGTTGGAAGGCAGACATAAGCATATGCCTTGTGTTTCTGAGTATGTCTTGTTCTTGTACTTTGGACGATTTGAAAGAAAAAAAAAAGCAAACAATTAAGCTATAATTATTTTTCCCTTTATTTCTCCAAGACATGAAAACATCTTTTCTATTAAAATGGTGAGCAATGGAAGAAAATAAATTTTCATAGGCTATTTTTTTTTCTTGACTCTGGAAGTCTAGCATATCAGTAATATTTTGTGAAATTATTTACTCGGTTTATCTGAGGTGATAATCACTTTAAAAATCCCCTTCCTGTTGGAACTAGTATGAAGAATTTAATTAAATTATTGAAGGAGTCGTGTGGGGGTGGGCTAGGGGGTGATAAGGAGAAACCCCAACTTCCATTAATTTAAATAATCTGATATTATCAGAAGTCAGAGGGCTTAAAGCTTTTGAGTGTCATGGGAGAATAAAGCAAGTGGAACACCTTGTTTACTAGACCCCTGCACAGTCAGGAAGGAGGGGGATGGCTTGTCCCTGAGTACACATCGCTGTGCTGTTTGGGTAACTCAAGGTTATCACACATGTCATTGGGGCTTTTCCTCCACATCCTGTGCCGTCCAGAGCTCTGGAGGGTTTGTATTTTTCCTTTTGTACAGAACTTTGAAGGTTATGAATTTCTTTGGCGATTTTATTTTTTAAGCCAAGAAGGAAGAAATTTGATTTTTGAAATGCATATAGTTGTATTCATAGTAAGAACCTTATCAGCATTACAAAATGCATATTGTTCCTGTTCAAAAGCAACCCAGAAAATTGTGACATTTCTTATAATGGATTATGAGTATTAGTGTGACTTGGATATTATTTTTGAAAGAAGTTTGAAGGTGAATTTGATCAAGTTTAAGTAAACTTTAAGAACTGGGACTGAGAGTATCTTGCCCATTATTGATCTGGTTTAAACTGTAGTCTTTACAGATCTTAATCCAAAAATTTAAAATATTTTTGATTGGCTGAAATAGGCAGGGCACATGGGTAAGTTTTTAACCATGTTTTTTTTTTTTGCCCAGGGTGTTTCAGTGACTTGTAATGTTTGATTTTATGGGTGGTGTAGCCTTTATTTTTGTGAAAAGTGGGAGAAAATAAATAAATAAATAAATGTGTTTTTTGGCCAGCAGGCAAAACACTAGACCTTTTTGCTATCACTAAACGAATGGTTTTGTGTGTGTGTGTGCGTGCGTGTCTGTTTGTATCTACTATTAAATATAGAAATAGGTGATGTTGTATTATTGTTTGTCATAAAACTGAAGGGACTGTTACTTAGCATAATTTTTTAATTTAATTTCTTGAATATTTTCCTAAGCTAGAAATTATTTTGGCTTTGCTCATCTTTGTCCCAATATCAGAATATTGGCATGCCTCTTCCTCTCATCATCAAAATTTAACTATAAGAGTGGAAATGCACTTGAAATACCATTCAGAGGAAGCTGGCAGATGTGTATAGACTGGACACAGTCAGAAAGCCTCTTCCATCACCTGTCACCATTCTTCATCCGCTACTGTGCTCAACATGGATGTCCCAAGCCATAGAGATAATTAGGGTTTGTTCCCAGGTCGTTCTTTTTTTCTTTTGTCACTGGACTGAAATCCCTGACATGTCAAAAATGCCTTAAATTTTAATGAACTCTCTGAAAATGCAGTTGATATTGAAGAAGTTTTATTTTATTTCTAATTTTAGATATTAAATAGATTTTTGTCAGCTCAGTCCTGTCTTTGGATTCCCATGGCTTGTCATTTTATTCTAAGAGCTGAAGAACTTTGACAGAGAGAACATTAGGAGGAGAATATGCAGACCAATTTTAGCTATAAAATTTTGTTTGGTTTTATGTATGGCCTCTGACAAGCCCAGTGAAATGTTGAAATGTATAAACAAATTATTATGTTTCTATGACTTAGTTGACATTTACTCTCCCCATTACCACCAGTGATAGAAAAAAATGTGTTATTTGTTATTTTTTTAAAGGCATACTTTGGAGCCTTAAATACTTCATCAAGTCAACTGTTGCCTGTAACATCTCTTAGTGCTGTGTCAAAGCATATTTAAGTCAATTTTCCACTGGTTGAGAACATGTCTTCTATGATAAGTTATATTACTCCGTTTCAAATGTTGAGCAATTTGGTATGTACTCATTTGATTTAAAAGACTGAATTTTATTATTATTGATCTTCTCCCTCTTTGGTTACTAGTACTCATATCTTTCCTAGGATTAAAAATATTTCATAGTACTTTTGTGTAGACTTTTGTCATTATTTTTCTCTCTCCCCCCCCCCCCCCATGATGGCTTAAGTCAGTATGGTGTGAGAATTACTTGAGACCAGTTATTCACCCTCTGGTTTTCAGGTGGTGCATAGCAGTCAGTTTTGCTTCTTTATGTCCCATCTGGACAAGTGTCATCTGATGTCTTTTGGTAACAGTGTTTTCTATGGTTCATGGTCCTAATTGGAGGCTAATATGTTTCTGTTTTCCACATGAAAGCCGGTTGCCTGGTTAGTTTGGGATGTGCTGCTCATATTTATGTTCTCACGTTCATAAGTAGAAGATATCTCCCGAGGATTCTTAAGACCAGTTATGGGAGAGGCTTCCCTGGTTCATTTATGGCATCTGTCCATGTTGGGTGTACCTCAGTGCTCACCCATTTGCCAGATCCTGTTTGAATATGAAACTGCAAATGGCATTTAGTTTTACTTTTATAATTGTTGGTTCAGCAGACACCTCCCATTTCTTTGAATGAAATGTCAATGAAGACCTCAGTTAGATGGATTTTTCTTCATGACCCCTGGAAGGAAGCCTCTGTTTAAAATACTTTAAGATTTTGGTGAATTTGGAGTAGATATGGCAACATTTCCTTTATGTCAGGTAACTGATTTCAAAATGCTATTGGCCGCATTCCAAATAAAAAGAGTAAATCAATAGGAATTATGTAAATCTATGCCTGCTGTTGCAGAGCAGGATGGTTAATTGCCTCACCCATGGATGTGTGCCTTTGTCTCAAGGCTCTAGTTCAAATCTGTCTTCTCCTGGCTTTTCGCATTTTTCCTATACAGACAGGCTACAGGATTTAAAAGGATCACAGTGGGGAAGTGGCTGGGACAGGGACTAGCTGAGGGAATATGAGAAGCCTGTAAAGACAGAGATTACCTTTCTCAGGCATTCTTTACATCTGTCCTCTGTGCTGTCTAGAAGCCAACTTGCCTGGCTGTTTAAAAATAGGAGCAGCTTTCCTTCACCATGCTGAACTTGGGTGGGCCGGGAGCCTATTACTATGTAAGCTAGAGAGGATATGTATCATAACTATTCAGAAACACAAGGCAAGCTTTTAAAAGTTTCTGTTATGAATAGGACCTATTATTTAGCTTGGAATCCTTAAATTTAGGGAAGTTTTGCAGAGATGGATCAATTGGTTTTACATTTTGGAAGGATGAAATATCGTTACCAATGTAGGGAAACAAAAGCTTCTAAACTTATTTTCTTTTTAAAATGGCTTGCATAAAAGGATTTTACAGCATCTATTTTCTATACATATGTTAAATGTTTATAACAATTATTTCTAGGGATCATATAGATAGATGGTGCACTCTCTAATTAGAAATGAGGCTTGCAGTAAGGATGGAGAAAATGACAAGAGCTGCCTGTCAATGCATTTTTAGTGTACTGACAGGGCATAAAATATAGTGGGTATAGATCAGAACCCAGCCCCCCCCCCCAAACTGGTTTTCTTGTGATTTAGACCCAACACTGATTGTCTTGCTTTCAGATCCTTGACAGAGGCATCAGCTGTACCTCCAAACAGTCCATCCCATATTGCCTTCCTTGGATTGTCACATTCTATCAGTGGATGGAATTTATTTTCTCCCATCAGCCTTGCTCAGCTGCTGTCCAAAGCATATGTTCATTCTGTTGCGTATCTAGCACTCCCGCCAACTGAGTCAGAGTGGAATTTATTTTATTATTTAGTGTCTTTGAATCTGTTCCTAAACCTACCATAGTTCACGCCCCAACCTCCAGGTACTTACGTGAGCACCATTGCTCAAAGCATCTTGTGGGATGTGGCTGGATTCTTTAGGTTGCTCATCAAAATGCATGCAGGAGGAGGGAAATTTTTCTAACATCCTTTGAGGCCAATCCTGTTGGCCTTAATGTCCCTGTTCATTATTTTTAATAAAACAGTATTGTTCTGTTTTACTTATTTCAAATACTGCCTCCCATATAGTTAACGTTCTACTTTATTCCTTTCTCTGTCATTCTTGACCACAAGTCCTGCTTTAAACAATATTTCCTCATGCATGCAAAGCAAATACTTTACCAGCTGAGTGATATCCACAGCTTTAGTGTATGCTTTTGAATGTAGGAACCAGATGGACTAAATCTCATTTGTCTTTCTTTTGTGGGCTAAATAGTAACCCTGCAAAAGTACCTCTACATCCTAGCCCCTGAACCCTGAGAATACTTTTATTAAAACAACAACAATAACAGCAAACAAACAAAGCAACAACATTTCCAAACAGATGTCCTCTGCTGATATAATTAAGAATGTCAAGGTAATAGAATCCCAGTTATCAAGGTGTCTCTAAGTAATGACACTTGACATTTTAAAAGACAAAAGACAGGGCAGACAGTGGTGAACATGATATGAAGACTGAACAGAGTTTGAAATGATGTGGCCATAGGCCAAGGAACTGTGCGTTTCTAGCCAGTGCTAGAAAAATGATGGGATGAATTATTTCTTTGAATCTACAGGCAGCCTGGTCCTACTGACTCCTTAATTGTGACAGAATAATTTTGTTTGTTTGTTTTAAGCCACATACATTATAGTATTTCCCCCATCATCGCAGGGAACAACTGTGTCTCTTCCTGCGGTACCTGACACAGGTTCTACAGATAGATGTGTTCTCGCTATTTTCCCCAGCATTAATAAATTATTTGTAGCTAGAAGTAGGGCAGCATTTAGTGAGAATAATCAACTTTTGCCTTACCCTTACTATTCATGCCTTATTTTAGGTTAGGAAGATATTTAAATCTAATGATAAGTCTGAGTGCTGGGACATTGTTCCTAAAACTTGGGAAAGCAATGAGAAGATGGCCAGGATCTCTACTTCCCCTTTCATCTATGTAGGGCAAGAGTAATTCCTCATTGGAATTATTAGATGCTTCCCAGTTTCTTTTCCCATCGCTATGTCTGTTTTGAACATCAGAGCCATCAGACCTTGTCTGGCAGGTCAAAACTCTCTATTTGGCAAATAAGGAAGCCTTTGGCTTAGTTGGCGGTTCTGGCTTGTCATGTAGACATAGTTGTAAAAAGATAACATGTGTGTGTCATCATGAGCTGGGCTTGTATTTATGTTGTCACCCTTGTCAATTTCTGATCACTATGGTCCATAGAAAAGCACCTTCCACTCACAACCCTCTGGTAGGGCTACAACCTGATTCAAAATATGTGGGTGAAGAAAAGCGCAGTTAGACAATTACTTCCAACATTAACAAGAGAAGGTGACTTGAAATCTACCTATTCGAATTACCTTGACTGATCCAAAAGGACAAACTGTTATCCACCATGCTTGAAAACCTTGAAGGTTTTATTCCGGTTATCTTTACATTAATACAGATGCTTATTTTGTACTGAGAAAAACAATCTGTTACACATAATGTAACTTTAATATACAACAGTAGAAACTCACCTTAAATTAGTTACAACAAGAACCTACAAAAGACTTCATAGGAAAAAGGTTACCTAATATTGCCACTGTATAGGGTTTGTTTGTTTGTTTGTTTCTTTGTTTGTTTTAGTAGACTGACCCTGTCAGACCCTGTCACCAATGCTCAGCTCTGTAAACAATGGTTATTTCCATGTTCTGGGGAGGGGAGGGAGGGGGCTGTTAATACGGGCCCTAGAATCAGCCTAGAAAATTGTAGCACAACATCACTGCGTACCGTACAACCCTCAAAAATAATTTATTGTCCTGCTTCTAAGAAAAGGTACTAGGGTTGTTCCTTTTGTTCTGTTTCCATGTTCTGCAGCAGCCTGTGAGCACTTTGCCTAACAGCCTAAAAACATGAGAACTGAACCACATGTCACGGTCACAGAGATGAGGTGGTGGAGTCGAGGACTTCCCTTCCGTTGCACACCGTGGGGACATACGTGCTTGCAGAGGCTGCAAAACAAAGTGGGATGGAACACTCAGTTAAGCAAGTCATTTAGTTAATGGCATAAATGCTCCCAGACACTGGGTTAAGATTAGACTAAAAACCCACTTTAACATGGCTTTGCGAAATGCTTACTGGCTTAGCGATAACAAATAAACTTCCTAGAGATTTCTGCTCATTAGCTTGTGTCCTCGAACGTGCCTCCATTCATGCCATGCCTCTTGGGAAAGAGATTTAAAAGCACAATCTTTGCTGAAAGAAATCTTTTGTGGGTTAAAAATTGACTTTAATAATCTATAAAATGGTTAAAATAAACGGAATAAACTAAAAGTCCCTATAACTTTTCATAGGTGATTAAATTTTTTGCTACATTCAATAACTACAATTAGTTTTGTTCTTTGATCAAGGACGACCCTTCTTTGGCCCTCGGGGTCCTGTGTGAACTCTACTGCTTTAGAAAACTGGTATGATTTCACTGTCTGTGTTGTATAGTCTCTGTGGAATTGCTGGCAAGTGTGAGTGCTGAGAGCTTTGGCTCTCAAACAATTCTTGAGATGAAGATATTACAAAGAGAAAGTACCTTTGTCAATGACAATAGTGGACACACTGCCGTGGTGCCTGTATAATAAAGTAGGGTATATTTACTCTTTTTACTATACCCAGTTTTTCCAGATATAATTTCCATCTATTAACATCTTCATACTCAAGTTTTTATGTGAAATTTATTCACATGGTATTTATATGTATGATGTCTTTTCATTGAATGAGGGCATAAGCAGGACTCTCATTCTTCCTTGGAATGAAACCATATAGTCAAGAGACTAGGTTAAAGTGAACTTATATCACCCTTACTGTCTCTCTACCTATACTAACATATATTCTCATGACAGAAACTAGGTAACCAGAACATATCTTGGTTACAATTAATAAAGCATCTTCCTATTCCTTAAAGACATATGAGCTAATTTCATTCTGTAGTGTTCGTATCTGATAGCAGATGTATTCTTGACCCAAACATTGTTTTATATATAGCAATTACTCTAAACACGAAGGAATAACCAGTAGTGGCGTCAGAGCTATCACAACATTCACCTAAATATTTAGGGCACTGACATCTTGTAACAGGTCCACCAGCAGCCAAGCTAAAGTTTTCAACTTAGAAAATTGAGTAGGCGTGTGAGAACATAGAGCAAGTCTATGACCTGAAGTGACAAACTCGGTCTTTGGAAGTTTTTTTTTTTTCTTTCAATGTAGATAGACCATATTAAATAAATATTTTTATTTATAGTCTTGACTAGCTTTAAACTCATAATCCTCCAAGTGTGGTACCTTTAGTAATTTAGTTCTCCAATTATTTTCATATGCTTTGTGAAATCCTAGAATCAGTAAATGTTGGCAAGGTAAAAGAAGGTAAATGAAGTTCAAAACACAGATCATTGGTAGCAGAGAGCTCTGTCTGGGAACCCTAGATCCAGCTTCTTGCTTGACATCTTCATTAATAGTCATTTCAAAATTGGTATCCAAAGAATTCTTGATTTTGGGTAGGCTTTTCCCACATAGCCTTCCTTTCCTCAGTAAATGGTCTTGTCTGCTATCCTAAACCAGAAGTCTGAGATTCATGCTGAATTTCCTTTTTTTTCTATCCCATTTCCTATGGCAACCTATCATCAGGTCCAATTAGCGCTAGCTACATATCCAACACCTGCCACCAATGTACCTCCCACCTGGGCAAGCCACTATTAATTATCTGTGTCCAGAAACTGACAGTACTGGCAGATGCTCCTTAGACTTCTCCTAGTCATGTGTTTTCTACGTGTCAGCAGTATGGACAGCCAGCTCTCCATATCTATTGTCCCATAATGGCAGACTCAAACAACCACAGATTGAGAATATTCAGGAGAAAAATGTGTTCTGAGCATGTTCAGAGTTTTTCTTGCTTTTCCCAAATAGTGCAATGTAATAATGACTTTATACAGCATTCACGCTATGATGGTAAGAAACCTAGGGATAATCTAAAGTTCACTGGAGATGTCCATGGGTTATGTGAAAGCATGACATTTTGTAAAAAGGACATGAGCACCTCAGGTTTAGCCGTTCATAAGGAGGGCATTTTGAAGCCACTTCCATCGATACTGAGGGGCAGCTGTATTGTAAAACATGAGCCACCTATTTAGACGCTTTTAGTTGCTTTCTCTTGTGCTTCCACTTGGCCTTAGAATCCCAAATTATTGGACTATGCTGATCTTTCTAGATTTTTGTTTTACACATTCCACATTTTTTTCTCCCCTCTTTGCTTTGTTCTCCAAATAGCAATTGTGTTTTGCAATTCTGTGCCTTTGCCATAGCTATGGCTTCTACCAAGAACACTCTCTCTGATCATCACATGGCTCCTTTGTGTCACCTACACCCAGTATATGGCTTCCTTAAAAATGTGGTCGTCAGCCAACCCAGGCCACAGTAGCTCTCTGTTGTATCACCTAGTTTTAAAACTCAGGCCTGCACAGTTGGTGCTTCCAGATACCTCTTCTCCATCTTCCCCCAACTCCTCCTCCCCCTCTTCTTTATTACTGATCATAAAATGCACAGGAGCCCTGCTTATTCCAGTATTAGTCTCCAGTACATTCCATGAAGAGATACTCTAAATATTTCCTGAGAGATCATAGGAATGTTTACATTTCTAAGAATAAAGAGGCCAGTGGATGTTTTAAGAAGGTGGTACACTTGTGAGGTGTGCAGGCAGCCTCGTTAGGCCAGATGGACTTCTCTGCTTCCCATGTCACACTGAGATCATGACCACTAGTTACTCTTGCAAAGAGCACTGGTTCAAGGTGACAGCTTCTGATAGCAGGCATGCTGCCTCTGACTAATTCCTTTACTTTCTCTAAGATCGCATTTTATAACATCTTTGCATCTTTTCAGAGATTGAAGAGGAAGTATGGATCATGGGGGGTAGGGCAAGGATAACTAAGGGCTGATGTGCCAATGCCTCTGTCTACCTTGGACTAGACTCAGGACCTCTCTATACCTTTCTTGAGGTCATTTTGCAACCAGTCCTGATGAGACCTGATAGGCTAGGGTCAGATGGAGAGGGAAGAGGAAGAGGACCTCCCCTATCAGTGGACTAGGGGAGTGGCATGGGAGGAGATGAGGGAGGGTGGGATTGGGAAGGAATGAGGGAGGGAGCTACAGCTGGGATACAAAGTGAATAAAGTGTAATTAATATAAAAAATAAAAGTTGAAATAAAATACAGAAAGAGAAAACAAAACAAAACGTTTTCTGATGTGCCCAGCCCGCTGTGGAACATGATGGAACTCTGTTCTTGGAATTTTACTCTGTCAGTTTGCTTCCTGCATTCCAATTTCTTACCAACTGGTTGCATTTGCCTAGGTAGGAGCTGCATGGCCTCAGAGTCTTCTCCTCTGCATCCTATAGATACATCATTATGGGAGTCCACAGAGCACTTTGAGTTGTCTTTGCCCCATAGGGACATTAAAGGAAACACTCTGTTTTAAAGAATGTTTTAAACTCTGCGAGGAAGCAAAGGGAAATTCAAGATCTCACAAAATAACAGCAGCTAAAATGCCCACAGCACTCTTTCTGCAGGAAGTTTCCCTTAGACCCTTTCCAGTGTGCTGAAGGGATCTCTCTACTTTGCAGCCTTTTGCTTTTCTTTTGCTGTTTCTCTGTAGCTTTGGCCACTGCATTCTATTATATATTTTAAAAATTCCCACTTTTTTGCATAGGCTGCTGAACATAGTAGGAGAAATTATTGTTTTATGAGTTTGCCATCTCAATTACTTTGTGTTTCATAAATATTTTAGATGTGCTTCCCATATTAGCCCATCTGTTATTTCCCAGGGTAGTAAAATATGTGGAAAAGCAAAATGCTGTCATTGTGCATATGTGTGTGTGTGTGTGTGTGTGTGTGTGTGTGTGCATGTGTGTCCTTTTGATAAGCCCTTGCTATTGTTCTGAGTTTTTTTTTTAATTTTTTAATTAGATTTTTGGTTTTTTTTTACATTAATTACATTTTATTTGCTTTGTTGTTCTGAGTTTTTTTAATGGTGTAAGTTCAACCTGTTTTCATAGCGTGGCTAAGCAGATTTCTATGATTGGTCTTTCTGCAATCAGTATGCAGGCTTCTCTTAGGTTTTCCCGGGACCTGGAGTGAACATCAGCTGTTGCCTGCTCCAGGCTACAGGTGCTTTTTGCCACTCAAAGGGAAAACTGAAAATACCTGGAAGAGACTTTGTGGGTTTCACTACTGATCACAAAATGACAATTTACACCTATATAAAAAAGACATGTTTTACTTCACAGACATGATACAGCATTGGTCTAAGTAGCCACGTGGCAGCTTTGACTCCTTATGTGAAATCCACTGCCTTCCCACTAGTCACAAACAGGCTGGGCAGGCTTGGGAGAAAAAGGTGACTCTTTCATGGAGCTGGGCTGATCAATGCTAAACATCCTTAGTGATGCCAAGACTTTGTTAACCGACTAAGAGACTGGCTCCCGAGAATCAAGGTCTGAACAAACCCTGTGGGGTATCATACTTGGGAGAAAACAGGCATTTCAGCAGAGCGGAATTTCCTGTGTGCTTCCATCCTTTCAGTGTGCTTGTTTCTGGTGTCCTCAAATAATTTATGCCGGGATATCTGCTTGTTTATGTATTCACGAAATAGTCATGAAATCCAGTTTCTGTCGGCTGTGTGTATGCCTCTTTGTCCTCCTGCTTTGTCGTTAAACCTGTTTTCTTACTCATCCTCTCAGTTTTACTCACCCCCTTTTCATTTTCTGGTCAAGATGTGCTGCTAGACTCCAGGAGATTTCAAGGAGGAAGGCAGGGTGTTCATTGTTCAGACATTGGGGGTACTTCTAGACTGAATTCTCAGAAAGTATTTACTTTTGCTAGTTCAAATGGTCATCCAAAACTATCAATATCAATCAAGGTGCAAATTAAAGATATGTTTTCCCAATGAGATTTATAATTCTACAAAACCTAAG